GGGCCTAACAGCAGTGCAGAGTACCCGGCCTTCTTGGAGTCCTTGGGAGGGGTACTGGACGGTGCACCGCCCGGGGACTCCGTTATTCTCCTGGGGGACTTCAACGCCCATGTGGGAAACGCCAGTGACACTTGGAGAGGGGTGATCGGGAAGAGCGGCCCCCCTGATCTGAACCCGAGCGGTGTTCAGTTGTTAGACTTCTGTGCCAGTCACAGTTTGTCCATCACAAACACCATGTTCGAGCACAAGGGTGTCCACCAGTGCACGTGGCACCAGGACACCCTAGGCCGGAGGTCGATGATCGACTTTGTTGTCGTATCATCTGACCTTCGACCGCGTGTCTCGGACACTCGGGTAAAGAGAGGGGCGGAGCTGTCAACCGATCATCACCTGGTCGTGAGTTGGATCCGCTGGCAGGGGAAGAAGCCGGTCAGACCTGGCAGACCCAAGCGTATAGTGAGGGTCTGCTGGGAACGTCTCGCTGAGCCCCCTGTCAGACGGACTTTCAACTCACACCTCCGGGAGAGTTTCTCCCAGGTCCCGGTGGAGGAGGGGGACATGGAGTCCGAGTGGACCATGTTCTCTGCCTCAATCGCCGATGCGGCGGCTCATAGCTGTGGTCGCAAGGTCTCTGGTGCTGGTCCCGGCGGCAACCCCCAAACCCGGTGGTGGACACCGGCAGTAAGGGATGCTGTCAGGCTGAAGAAGGAGTCCTATCGAGCCATGATGGTTCGGGGGACTCCTGAGGCAGCTGTCCAGTACCGGCAGGCCAAGCGTGCCGCGGCCCGGGCTGTTGCAGAGGCAAAAACCCGGGACTGGGAGGAGTTCGGAGAGTCCATGGAGCATGACTATCGGTCGGCCTCAAAGAAATTCTGGCAAACCGTCCGGCGCCTCAGGAGGGGGAAGCAGTTCTTTGCCAACACCATGTACGGTGCGGGTGGAGAGCTGCTGACCTCGACTGGGGATATTGTCGGGCGGTGGAAGGAATACTTTGAGGTTCTCCTCAATCCCCCCGTCACGTCCTCTGTTTCAGAGGCAGAGGCTGAGGATGTTGGGGCGGATACATCCATCTCCCTGGCTGAGGTCACCAAGGTGGTTGGTAGCCTCCATGGTGGCAAGGCTCCGGGTGTGGATGAGATCCGCCCTGATTATCTAAAGTCTCTGGATGTTGTAGGACTGTCTTGGCTGACACGTCTCTGCAACATCGCGTGGCGATCGGGGGCGGTGCCAATGGAGTGGCAGACCGAGGTGGTGGTCCCTCTCTACAAGAAGGGGGACCGGAGGGTGTGTTCCAATTATCGTGGGATCACACTCCTCAGCCTCCCCGGTAAGGTCTACTCCAAGGTACTGGAGAGGAGGCTACGGCCGATGGTCGAATCTCGGATCCAGGAGGAGCAGTGTGGTTTTCGTCCCGGTCGCGGAACACTGGACCAGCTCTATACTCTCCATCGGATACTCGAGGGTTCATGGGAGTTTGCCCAACCTGTCCACATGTGCTTTGTGGATTTGGAGAAGGCGTTCGACTGTGTTCCCCGGGGTGTCCTTTGGGGGGTTCTCCGGGAGTACGGGGTCGGGGGTCCTCTGCTGAGGGCCATCCGGTCCCTGTATGACCGGAGCCAGAGCTGTGTTCGCATTGCCGGCAGTAAGTCAGACCTGTTCCCGGTGAATGTTGGCCTCCGACAGGGCTGCCCTTTGTCACCGGTTCTGTTCACTGTATTTATGGACAGAATATCTAGGCGCAGCCAGGGGTCGGAGGGGGTCCGGTTCGGGGACCACAGGATTTCATCTCTGCTGTTTGCGGACGATGTTGTCCTGTTGGCTCCAACGAACCAGGACCTGCAGCATGCACTGGGACGGTTTGCAGCCGAGTGTGAAGCGGCTGGGATGAGAATCAGCACCTCCAAATCTGAGGCCATGGTGCTCGACCGGAAAAAGGTGCCCTGCCCTCTTCAGGTGGGTGGAGAGGTCCTTCCTCAAGTGGAGGAGTTCAAGTATCTCGGGGTCTTGTTCACGAGTGAGGGAAGAATGGAGCGTGAGATTGACAGGCGGATCGGTGCAGCGTGCGCAGTGATGCGGTCGCTGTATCGGACTGTTGTGGTAAAGAAGGAGCTGAGCCGAAAGGCAAAGCTCTCGATTTACCGGTCAATCTTCGTTCCCTCCCTCACCTATGGTCATGAGCTTTGGGTAATGACCGAAAGAACGAGATCGCGGATACAAGCGGTCGAAATGAGCTTCCTCCGCAGAGTGGCTGGGCGCTCCCTTAGAGATAGGGTGAGGAGCTCAGTCACACGGGAGGAGCTCGGAGTAGAGCCGCTGCTTCTCCACGTCGAGAGGAACCAGTTGAGGTGGCTCGGGCATCTGTTCCGGATGCCTCCTGGACGCCTCCCTGGGGAGGTGTTCCGGGCACGTCCCACCGGGAGGAGGCCCCGCGGAAGACCTAGGACACGCTGGAGGGACTATGTCTCTCAGCTGGCCTGGGAACGCCTTGGGGTCCCCCCGGACGAGCTGGAGGAAGTGTGTGTGGATAGGGAAGTCTGGGCGTCTCTGCTTAGACTGCTGCCCCCGCGACCCGGCAACGGATAAAGCGGAAGAAAATGGATGGATGGATGGACATAAATATAGCGCCACCTAATGGATGAATACTGGCCATTCTATCTGCCATAGTTTGTCATGGGCTCTACTTTCAATGTACATTTTGACAGTTTTTGGATGAGTACATTTTGAAATATTTGAGCAACACTTTGTGGATGTGAGTGTGTGCCATAAAACGTATTATTTTGCATCAAAAACACTTTCTCATAATGTGTCGTTGCTGTTTTCTAACATGTGATCCTGGACATGTTTGAGGAGATGCTAAAGTCAAACTAAATAGTTATACAATCACTTTTCGGCAGTTCGTCTGTTTTCACAAACACCTCATTTTCTCATTTTTTTGTCTAAGACTGGTGCTTTTTGTCACACTCCCCTCTTTTCGACTGGAGATCACAGGAGAACGAAACAAACCAAGAACAAACTTCTTTTTGCTGCTGAAAGTAGACAGTCCTGTCTTTCAGACTCTGGTTTCATATTTTTCATAGCACACAATATTCTGTGAGTCTTAAAAATCAGTGAAAGTGGGGTTGACGCGCACATCCAATACTGAGCAGCGTGCAAAAAAAGTCGATAATAGAAAACATGAAAAGAAAAGGAGATGACTCTGCACAGCTTTTAGCTCCCAAGAGTTTTTAATGTTATCACCACAAGATGTGACGTTTCGGGTCACTACCCTTCATCAGACATGTCTGATGAACTCTTGAACAAAAACTCTTGGGAGCTAAAAGCTGTGCAGAGTCATCTCCTTTTCTTTTAAAAATCAGTGAAGTCATCAAAATATGGCTGGCAGTCAATGAGAACCTCTTTTTCGTGTTAAAAAATTACATAAAATTATAAAACAGTCACATACAGATGATAAAACGGTCACATACAGATTATACAACAGTAACACACAATTTCATAAAATTACGGATTATAAAAACAGTTACATTTCACTGAAGATGTCTCAATCTGGATCTAAAAGCATTCAAGGAAATAAGATCAGATCATTTCTAGTCTTTTTGCAACACGTTCCATGTAGAAGGAGCAGCAAAAACAAACGTTTTTTTTTCCCAGTTCTGTGCAAAAGGAACAGAGAGCAACAAACGATCATTTGATCCAAACATGAACATGTCTCTGTGAGTAAACGACAGATATAAGAGGGCAGCAGACCAAGGCTTAGAAACTAAAGTGCACCAGAGTCCAAACCTTCTGTGGACAAAGATCCCACTCCAGAATATCATTCACAGTGAGGCTTTGCAGTTTATAATGAATGAAACATTTAAAAAACATTTTGTCTTATATTTAAGCGCAGTCTTACTGTTGAAACTGTGTACAACATTACATTAAATATACTTCTTTAGGAATGAAACCTCTGCCTTGTTTTTGATGAATACTTCGGCTTACTACGTTACTGTGTGGTGTTGGTCATTTGTGGTGGTACTTGGAGAGGCAAGTATTTTCTGAGGGGGTACTTGGTGTGAAAAGTTTGAGAACCACTGCTTTAGAAGATTTTTGTTTAAGTTGTTTGACACTTTGTAGTAAAGTGTTCCTGTCTTCCCTGTGGCACAGCATATCAACACAGATTTAAAATAAAAAACACACCTCTACAGTGTGTAGACATCTTATTTGGTAACATTTGCATCACATCAGACTGCACTATCCTGAGACTCACTTCAGATTTATTTGTAAGTGAGGGGGGGGCACATGAGAGACAACAGGATGCAGTCAGCTAATCCTCAGGAGTCAAACCCACCCACCACTAGCTAATCCTTCAATTCACACAAAACATGTCTGCCGCGCTCTAAACTCACAGCTCTCTTCCAATTTCTTCTCTTCGACTTGTTAGAAGTTATGAAGTCTGTGAGGCTTATTGTCATAATCTGTATATTTACATCAAAACTTAAAACAACTGCCATGTACAGTGACACAATTAGGAATGTTCTTGTTTTTATTTACTATTAGTAACTACTCTGAATTAGAGAGGTAGTGAATAGATATACAGTATATAATAATCCATTTAGTTGTGACTTGATGTTAATTCATTTATGACAGTTACAGTGTACCTTTGGTTGTTATTTTGGATTTTTTTTAAGTTTAAAATTTTAAAGTAAACAATTAAAGTTCATTTCTGTAAAAATAAGCAGTAGACATAACATACTATTGTAAATAGCTAACCATAAGTCTTGGGTGGATTATAAATAGAGCAATCAATGACACCATACAGCAAACAAAAATAGTGAACAGCATGAAGAAGTGAATGGAACACTGCACACAGACAGTGAAAGAAACGTTGCAAGTGTTAGTAATATTCTTTATGGCCTAATAAAAGTTTCAGCAGCAGAAGTCCTGCGCTAGTAAGCAGGGTGTGGACTGTCTCACACAGTCCACGCCCTGTGATGAAAAAACCACATTTAACAAACAGAGTGTTATGTGAGGACAAAACAGCCCCCCACTACACCAGGGGACGCATGAGCCTTCACCACAAAAGTATGTCCTAAGACAGGGTTTGTGTTTTTAGGATCACTTTTATGATTTGTGCGCTACTGTACAGGGACATAGTGAGAGCCATTTCACTTATTTGACTGTGTCAAACACGCAGATTAGATTTGTTGGAGAAAGGGTGGACAAACAGGAAACCATGTGCTGATGTGATACAACACCAACAAGAAGGGCCAAAGTTGGGTCCTTTGGAGGGAGCAGGCCTTCCTTGTCCTGGCTCAGATATGGTTCAGATTACAGCTATATTTAGTAAACTTGAGTGAAGTGCACCATTCTTGTCCCTGTTTTAAAATTGAAATGAGATCATTGAAACGCATCGCGGCTCATTGCGCACATATTTTCCGCCCATTGACAAGCGTCCGCCTGGCTCACAAACAGGACTCTCTAGCGGCTCATATGTTTCTGAATAAGGATTCTTTTTGGACGATTTAAAGATCAAAACAGAGCTTAGACTCATCTGTTGCATAGATTGCATGCCTCGCAAACGGCAACTGCTGAGAGGAGGGGTGGAGATCGGATCGCACGTGCTTGACTCGAACCATCAATGTAAATCGGTGAATCTCTCCATCCCTAGTGGAAACGTCTGAAAATAAGGGCACACCCAGGATATCATAATTTTTCAGAGGACATAATGTCTTCAGAAAAGATAAATCACTAACTTCCAATTAAGTTTTAATAAGGCCCGAGCGCCAAACTGGCGTAAGGGAGTGTAAGGAGCAACAACGACTCCGCCGCGGCCGTTTCACCAATTTGGCTCGAAATCACTCCACATCGTCTAAACACATGGAGCAGGGCTCGACATTAACAGTTGTCCGCTTGCCCGGGGCAATTATAACTTGTAATGGGGAACACTGGAATGTGCTGTTCAGGAATCTCTTGTGTATGTTTGTACCTTCAGCAACCTCAGTGGGGCTCGCATCAGCAGGGGGACTGCCCCGGCTCCTGTCTGCAGAGCTGTGAAGGATGTGGACTAACATCAGCCTTTTCAGTGACAACAGGTCTGTCTCTCTCAGTCGAAGCTCCAACTGTCGAAGCGTGGAAAGTCCGGGCTGGCTGGTCAGCACCGTCACCTGGACAGAGCAGCAACAACAGTCACATTTCTTGTACAGCCCATGAGAATTTCGGCTTTAGCACAGTGGGTAATGGATAGGGGCTTAAGCCACCAATATCCTACTTTCAACTAAGAAGAAAACTAAGAAACAAGCGCATTCACTTTGCACATTAAACGGTACAAATGCTGATATTTTCACCATGTTTATGACCTAACGCACACTCCAATAGTGTCATAGGCAGCTCTACCCAAAGCATCTGCAGCTCTTTACTAACAGGTGCCAGGAAGAAAAAACTTTACCAAACTGAATACAAAAATAGACCAAAAAAGTTATTCAAACGTGTTTTTCCTCATGTCACACCGGCTCTAAGAATTCTGTTTTTACAATTGTAATTGTAATCTGAAATTATATTACGTTTTCTGTCTGGTGAGATTGAGGCGGGAAGGGCATTATCCCAGTCGTCCGCAACAGTCTTACACAGGGCTCTTGGCTTGGACACAGTGGCCTGCTGTCCCCTCTTCTTTGGCCAGTGCCAGGACAATGGGGCTAGTGTGCGCAGGGAGAAACAAGAAGCAGCATTTAGGCCTCTGCTTTACAGGCTGCTGCTTTGTTACAAACGTGAAGGTTGATGGTGCTCGTTAAATATGGGGCAGGGATGATGTTGGGGAATCATTGGATGGTAAAATTAGAAAAAAGATGAGCAAGACTTGGAAGTTGTTCAACAACAAAAAAGTGATATCAAGTCTGATATCATCAGACTAAATGGTTTAAACACAAACCATCCTTCTATCGTTTTAATATATAAGGGCAAGTGAATGAAACACATCCTTTATTTGCAACAGAATGAGGAAAACATTTTGTAAAGAATAAATAACTAAATCTCAATATGCTGTTGATAACAGAGTCACTTTCTCTGTTTAATAACAAAAATATTGTTTGGGAATGTCTCTAGTCAAATTGCGTTATTTACACCTGTGACAAACTTTTGGAAATAAAGTGATGTTATCTGGGTTGCCAATAAGGTTTTTTCTACCAGGGTCACGTAAAATCAGCCTATTCATGCCGCAATGCAATCCTTTCCGCTTAAAAATGATGCTGTGTGCTATGTAGGAGATGACACAGCAGGCCTTAGAGAAAACAAAGACAGTCACTGTTGATTACTGGATGTTCAATCAGTAATTGCATCTATAGGTCATGGCCCAAACATTTAAGTTTAAGGTATTTCCACTGCGCGTGATCATCATAAACACTGTAAAAAAATAATCTAACTGACTTGAATGATAACATGAAAAAAGAGTAGCCTTTATTAGACAATTAAAGTAATTTCTAGTATATTAAATAGGTGTAAAAAGCAATAAAAAAAGTATATTAAATAACTGTAAAAAGCAATAACAAAAGCATACAGGGAATGAGTAGCCTTTATTAGAAAATCGATATATTTTCTCTTTGGTTGGGATTGGCTTTTTGCTTCGACAAATCCCTTTTCAAACCAAATCGATGGACATTAAGAACTGAAAAAAATACCATTAATTGCTATTAATCATGACATTAATGCGAATAATCCATAATTATAATTATTTGACACCACTAATCACCGGCTCTGGTTACGGTTGCGGTTAAAATGGACCTACGCAGCCACAGTTGCTGGTACACTCGCGCGTTCCCCATGCAAAGTTTTGAAGAGAATGTTGTAATCCCACAACCAACCACATGATGGCGATCTCACAGGAGTTGCCTGAGAAACCAAAGCGGTCCAATTTACGCTGCTACATTCTCCTCTTCAGAACAAAAACAGCAAATTAAGCTGTTTGAGCTCATTACATGTGTATCTAGTGCAGGTTTATGTGATAGTTCTATGGACTCATTACTTCATAAGTCATTTCAACTGTGATGCTGTGAATAAAGACACAGTTCTTGTTGGAAACATAGTTATTGTTACATTCTATTCAGCACAAGCAGCAAAACAATAAGTGGTAAATATCTGAGACCAAACATGAACGATTTACAAATGCAGGAGGAATGCAACAGACGCTATAAGATAAGCTACAAGTGCAGATTTAAACAAAGACAGGCGCAGGAACAGTGCAAAAGTAGCGACTGTACAGTTTATAAGTTGGATATGCAACAGAACTGAACAGTCCACAGTCTCCGTGTATAGCAGGCTCTGAGCCATGAACCTAAACTACTGTTCCTTCGGTCCCTTCGAAGTACGAAGCGATCTGGTCCGAAGTGCCTCGTCCAGGCTCCCTGCAGCCGCTTCATGCCTCTATCCCAGTGTCTCCCAAAGTGGGGTCCGCGGCCCCCTGGTGGGCCGCGAGGGTACTGCAGGGGGGCCGCGGGAGGTCATAAAAAAATAAATAATAATAATATAATTATTTATTGTTAAATTTATAATGTTCTGTTTGTAATATTAAAATATTTGTGTTCATTATTTGACTTGAATAATCCACTGTAATCATTTTTGTATTACAATGTTTGTAGCAGAGGCTATTTCCCCAAAATAAAATAACCAGAAGAGCCTATTCTTAATGTTGTCTTCTTGGTTATTATTTTGGGGGGCCACGCAGACCCGTCAGATTTTTAAGGGGGCCTCAGTGTTACTGAGTTTGGGAACGGCTGCTCTATCCAAACACACACACCGACCAATCACAGTACAGCTTCTTTGCGGCGGCTGCGTAGTTAGACATTTTTGAGGGTGCGCGGCAGGCTATGCAAGGGTCTTACGGTGATTCTTGTGCTGCGCGACTATACACTAGGCTTAAAAGTGCAGGATATCGATAAGTGTGCAGGGAACATAAATGTTGTTTTATGTCTGTATTTGTCTGTGCACACTGGAGACTTTTTGCTAATGTATTCCAGTGTGGTTTTCTACTGCAAATGGCAAATAAATAAACTGAACTGAACTGAACTGAACATTTATACAAAGTGACGAATGCAGCTTAAGCAGAAGTTCAGATTGGTAGACTACCCATGCACATCATCGCACAAGCCTGGCCCTTCCTTCCATAGCCTATCAAATCAGTTCTGTAAACTACTTGGCCAAGTGTGCCAATGATGCCAACGCTTAAAAGCAAGACACCGCACACCAAACACCCTTTCAAGCTGCAACCACCTCCTCCCACCTGCTGCTAACCGAAGTACAGATGATGGGTGAGCAACCTTCCTTTGTCTTGTCTCTGTAGTCTCTCCAGATTGAAATATAATGGGCTAATCATAAAGTGTTCATACTTCGTCAGTTTCTCGTCAGTGCAGTGTACACCATACACTTATATTCCTCCCCTTAGGCTCCACAAGTTCAAAGTAGTGGGAATACTACCTTCAAGCGTAAGCGTCATTGGTTGCTTTTTGTTTGCAATTTTTGCTCGTCTATATGCAACCACATACAATGTGGAATGAGAACTGGCGCACGAGTTGTAACTGATGCGCAAACGCCCAGCAGATGAGCGTCATCATGGTCACACGCGCCCATGGTAAATAAAAAGTAACACACTACAGACAACACTGGACATAACTGCAACATGGATTTTAAACAGCCACATTTTCACATGGTTGAATAGGAAAATTAATAAATTGTGAGCAGTTGTGGGGAAGAGCGTGTGTATGCATGCTGACCTCCACACAGCAGTTGCTTTGCTTGGCCTGGTGTCTTTGGAACTGCTTGTACTGTTGCAGACTGTCCGTCACAGCCTGTCCCATGAGCTGTGCTCCGGTGTGGGCCCTGCGCACGCAGCCCTCCCCTGGGAGCGAGCGCAACTCCTCCACACATGAGTGGAGGCGCACTAGGTTCCCTTGCACCGGCTGTAACACACGCAATTGACATTTTACAAAATGATTGGTGTCATTCTCAAATAACTACACAATAAAGTCTCAACAAAACAAAAACTTTCATTCCCCTTAAACTGCTGCTTCAAAGTCACAAAATGAGTTAGTCCAGCTTTAAGCCAGTGATTCTCAAGCAGGAGTCCTTAGTATAATAATAATTCTGAGATGCACTTTAGGGTAGGGGTGGGAATCTTGAGGCACCTCACGATTCAATAACGAGTCAGAGGCTGTGGTTCGATTATAAATATATGTATGCACTTTTTCCACATTCAGAGTTAAATTAATTTCCATCATATTGTATTACCTTCATGAAAATATCCATTGGAATGGATATGCATGAACATTTAAACATCTAAACTTTAGTGTACCACTCAAGGTGCTTTTTACTAATACTTCAGTACCAACAGCTAAAAAGGAAAATTCCTTTCGTAAATCACTTGGCCTTCTGCAGTGACGTTGACAGATTACCCAAAGCATCCCTGATGGTTTTCTGTAATGTAATATCATAATATTGAAATTTCAATTTAGTATTCAGGTAATAACCTGGTGGGAAAAATATGGAAGCAATTCAGTAATAAATGTGAAAAAAGAAGTACGTACTTTTGTCATTTCTGTAATTGCGGTGTCGTAGAGCTAAGTACTACCCAATTCTAAACTGTCAATTAATATAACCTTCTAGACATATACACTTTTGATGGGAATGCAAATACCCTGAATATTTAAACAAAATGAGTATTCTTCTTTTTCTGCCGTTTGTGGGGTTTTTTCCAAGTCCAATCACAATATGCTGGTTATATGTTGGATGTCCATACCACAAAGGGCAGCAGGCACTCCTGCTGCCGGCTGACGGCATACACACTGAGCAGGGGGATACGGCTGGGCCCCTCTAGAGCTGCAGCCAGAGCCAGCACGTTCTCCAAGGCCTCACAGAGCACCCGGCGGGTAGAGGACCACCAGGGAGGCAGCGCGTCCACCACTAGCACCCGGGCAGGCTGACGGAGATAAGAGTCAGGACTCTTGGAGACCCCAGACCCTCTACGCTTCTCCATCTGCAAAGAAATGGGCAAGAAAAGTCAAATCTGGGGTACCTGACCACAAAATGTCATAAAACCTTGGTCTGTAAAAATGTGCTGTATGAATAAATATGACTTATTTATTTGTATTACTTGCATTATTTGTATGAAAAGATTTATGATTGATTTGAATGATTGATTGAAAACATATACAACTCAATTACAAATCTAGCCATGAATAAAACATTGCTTTTATGCCATTGTAATGTTTTGTAGCAGCTTCACCTCTACCTGAGTCTTCAGTGTCGGATTGGGTCTAAAAACAGTCGCAGTGATGCAACAGTCTGGGGGAAAAAAAGACAGACTTTAGGCAAAACATTCAAAGCGCATAAGTAAGGGATAATGTTGTAATGTTCTGTAACATTATTTTGAAAAGACTCTTATTTTGAAGGCCAGAAGTACCCACCGGAAACGGTATGTGCAAAAAACGTTAGCAGATATACTATACGCAATGTCAAGAGGTACCGGTTGGGTGTGTGAATAAACGAACACAAAGAGTGAATGGACATTACTTTGTTCACTGTTAGCCAGGCACAACATGGTGTCAGAGTGACCTACCGAACCACGGACCTTCTATAACTCGAGAAAAGGGGAAGAAAAAGAAAAAAGAAGATGGAGGCTTATGGCGTACCTGCTCCGAGAATGGACTGGGAATCGTCAAACCTACCCGATGCATGGCGCCGTTTCAAACAACATGTTGAATTAATGTTTTCCGGACCACTCAAAAGTAGGTCAGAGGAACAAAAATGCAGTTTTCTACTGTTGTGGATCGGGGACAAAGGACGGGACATAAGTAACACGTGGTCTCTCAGTGAAGATAATGCTAAACTCCTAGCAACGTATTATGATGGTTTCTCCGCATATCTAACCCCAAAAGCAAACCCCATATTTGCCAGATATAAGTTCCATGAAAAAACACAAGATAGCGGTGTGTCCTTTGAACATTTTGTAACAGATCTGAAACTCCTCGTTAAAGACTGTGGCTATGACAAAAGCGACGAAATGGTCAGGGACCGCATAGTGTTTGGAACCAACTCCCCACATGTCAGAGAAAAGCTACTCAATCAAGGACCGGAGCTAACACTTGACAAAGCCATAGATATAGCCCGCGCCCATGAGCTAGCCAAATCACAGCTGAAAGCCATGGCTAACGACAACCATGAAGTACATGCTATACGTCGTAGAGGAGGGAAACCAGTGACCCCAGCACGAACCTACAAAACAAATGAAAACGCAAGGTACCAAAGCAAAGTTTGCCCAGCGTGTGGTGGACTCCACGAGAAACGTGCAGATTGTCCAGCTAAAGGAAAGCAGTGTCTGAAATGTAAAAAATTCAATCACTATGCAAAAGTTTGCAGGTCTAAACCAAACTTTGAAAGACAATCAGGGCACAAAGAGGTGCACACTGTCCAAGAAGTTGATGATTCTGATTCAGAGCTGTTCATAGACACTATAGCAGCTGGAGACGACAATGAAGACAGTGCATTCGCTGACATACTACTGGGTTCAAACAAGGTAAAACTAACATTCAAGCTAGACACAGGGGCACGAGCAAACATCATACCTCTCAGTGCTTTTGCATATCTAAAAGCACCATTAAAGAAGGACAAAGATAAACTGTTTGGCTATGGGGGCCACCCTCTCAAAGTCAATGGACAATGTGAACTGACAAGCAGATATAAAGACAAAATAACCGAACAGACATTCCACGTTGTTGATTGCAATGGTCCACCAATATTAGGCTTCAAAGCATGCAAAGCACTTGGTCTAATAAAAGTTGTCTATGCAATAACAGAAAACACAGAAGCTGAGCAACCCACCATGTCACATGACATCATGAGTGAGTTCTCGGACGTTTTCAAAGGAATTGGAGAATTCCAGGGGGAGTGCAGTTTCAGAGTTGATTCAAATATCTCACCAGTCGTTTGCCCACCAAGAAGAGTACCCTTTGCCCTCAGAGATTGCCTTAAAGTGGAGCTCGAAAACATGGAAAGGGACAAAATACTACAAAAAGTCACAGTGCCCACCAAATGGGTCAATGCACTGGTCATTTGTGAAAAAGCCAAAACACAAAAGCTACGGGTGTGTCTGGATCCAAGGCCCCTAAACAAAGCTATAATGAGGCCGTACTATCCACTGCCCACCCTCAAAGATGTGACACACAAACTGGCTGGTGCTAAGTATTTTAGCATCCTCGATGCACGTTCAGGCTACAGGGCAATCAAGTTAAGCGAGGAGTCATCTTTTTTAACCACTTTTAACACTATCTTCGGCAGGTATAGTTTCCTCAGACTCCCATTTGGCATTGTATCGGCTCAAGATGAGTTCCAGAGGAGGATCGATGAGACATACGAAGGCCTTGATGGTGTTGCAGGCGTTGTTGATGACATCATCGTGTTCGGGAAAACAAAAGAAGAGCACGATAAAAACCTCAAAGCCATGCTCAACCGCACCAGAGAAAGGGGTGTGAAACTGAACCCAGACAAATGCTGCATCTGTGTCACTGAGGTGAGTTTTTTCGGACATAAACTCACAGCCAACGGACTAAAACCAGATCCACGGAAAGTAAAAGCAATCAGAGAGATGAGACCTCCTGAAAGTGCTGCAGAGTTAGAGACAATCCTTGGTATGGTGAACTATCTTGCTAGATTTGCTCCCAACCTGGCAGAGATGAGTGCACCACTGAGGAAGCTGCTGCACCAAGACACGGAGTTCACATGGCAGGAGAACCACGAACATGCGTTCCAGCAAATCAAAGACACTCTCACTGCTGAACCAGGGCCAGTGCTGGCCTATTTCGACCCAGGAAAAGAGGTAACACTACAAGTGGATGCATCAAAAAATGGGCTAGGTGCAACCGTTATGCAAAACGGTAGGCAAGTTGCGTACGCTTCAAAACTGCTAAACAAAACAGAGCAGAACTACGCCCAAATAGAGAAGGAACTGTACGCTGTTCTCTACGGCTGTAAAAGATTTCACGACTACATTTACGGGCAAAACATTACAGTCGAGTCAGATCACAAGCCACTAGAAAGCATACTACGCAAACCATTAGCCCTCGCACCACCACGACTACAGTGCAGTGCATGCTGCTCGCTCTTCAAAAATACAGCATAACGCTCATTCATAAGCCAGGAAAAGAGATTCCAGTAGCGGACACATTGTCAAGAAAATCACTGGAAGACACTGACAGTTCACTGGTTGAGGCAATGGAAACGCAAGTACATATGGTAACTCGAACAGCACCAGTAAGCTCAAAAAAACTGGGAGATATCAAAACAGCCACAGCCCAGGACGGACAACTCTCTGCTCTCAAGCGCATTATCCAGTCAGGCTGGCCGGAGACACAAAAAAAATGTCCCACACTCGTCAGTGAGTATTGGAACCATCGTGATGAAATCACAGAGACTGATGGACTTCTTCTGAAAGGTGAAAGAATAATAATTCCTCTCTCACTAAGAAAAGACATGTTAAAACGCATACACACAGGACATTTTGGAGTTGAAAAAAGCAAACACAGAGCAAGAGACATAATGTTCTGGCCTGGCATGGGAAAACAGAGTGAGGAGACAGTGTCTAAATGCGACATTTGCCAAACACATCGCAGCTCCAATCAAAAAGAGCCCATGCTGCCTCAAGAAATCCAAGAAGTGCCATGGCAAACTGTCGGAACAGACTTGTTTTCATGGAACTCAGAAAACTACATTGTAATATGTGATTACCTGAGCAGATATTTTGAACTCGAACGTCTGCCAAATATCACCACTGCAGCTGTCATTCACAAAATGAAAGCAGCGTTCTCTCGACATGGCGTACCAGAGAAAGTCATCAGCGATAACGGACCATGTTATAGCTCCCAAGAGTTCAAGCGATTTGCAGAACTTTGGGATTTCCAACACGTCACATCAAGCCCACGTTATCCCCAAAGCAATGGCTTAGCCGAGAAGACTGTTCAAACCGCAAAACGCATTTTGACTAAGGCAAAAGAGGACAAGAAGGATCCATACTTGAGTTTACTCGAGTACAGAAATACACCTGTTGACGGTCTAAAGTCACCTGCTCAGATCCTCATGAGCCGCAGGTTACGTTCCATCTTGCCCACAACGACAACACAGCTGCGCCCTCAGGTCACCCCACAGAGCTTAGTGCATGCAAGGAGAGAGGAGTGCCAGTACCGCCAGAAACTACACTACGATACTTCTGCACGACCCCTACCCACACCATGCACAGGGGCACCAATCCACTACCAGCAGGAAGATGGTAGGTGGAAACCTGCAACTATCATTCAACCAGCAGAGACCCCACGCAGCTACCATATCAGAACCAGCGACGGTCAGACCCTACGACGCAACCTACGCCACCTTCTTAGCACCCGAGACAAATCACCTACAGAGGCAACTCGACAAAAGGACACAACTGCTGAAGATTCAAGCCCAGGGATGCCGTCTCCCCATCGCACTCCAAGCACAGGCATTGACCCCTGTATATGGCCGTGTCATAAAACCAAGGCATATTCTAAACTTGTAATGGATTATAGACATGGTATTGTTGTAGGAGAGATTGGTAATATAACAACTACATGTTCTGTGTAATGCAATGTTCCTGCTACTACTTCTCTTTGCCATAGCACTAGAATGTTATCATTATTGTTCAGTACTAAGAACTATTTTGTTGTTGAAGGGAGATGTAATGTTCTGTAACATTATTTTGAAAAGACTCTTATTTTGAAGGCCAGAAGTACCCACCGGAAACGGTATGTGCAAAAAACGTTAGCAGATATACTATACGCAATGTCAAGAGGTACCGGTTGGGTGTGTGAATAAACGAACACAAAGAGTGAATGGACATTACTTTGTTCACTATTAGCCAGGCACAACAAATGTATAGCATACAGGTCATTATCGGAAAATAAGTACCGACAGGGCGAAGCTTCCGCCCTGAAGGTACTTAACCGCGGGCAGGCAGTGTGGCTTTGACAATTGTGGCTATGCTAGCAACAGTTAGGCTGGCAACTTCCAAACTAGAACTCTCTGGAACTGCATGAAAACTGAACAAAGAATTCTGAACATCAGCGGTGAGTGACCCAAACATAAACCTAACCTAAATCCATAATTCGATCCTCTGCAAATGTGTCCGAAAATGTGCCGGTATCTTAAAATGTGCCGGTATCTACTTCCGGGTTTTTCGAGATCGCCTTTTCTCGCATTACATCAGTGTTTTTGTCATGAAAACGTAAACGGAAAATTCTGAAAACTTCCGTGCACTTGTATTAAGACTGGATATGTATAATTCACTCTCCGATAAACATTTCATTGCGTTGATTGATTGGCATTTGCGTTTATTGAGCGGCCAGAACTACTTCCGGGTTTTTCACGATTGCTTTTTGACGCAGAGAAATGGGTTAGTATTTTTGTCATGAAGACAAGACCAGAAAATTCTGAAAATTTCCGTGCACGTGTGTGAAGAATGTATATGTATAAGTATTCTCCGATTAACATTTAAGTGTGTTGATTGAGCGTGGCTAGCTCAGGAGTGGCCGG